CTACATTTTATTTTCAAGAAAAGTTATCAAGCCGGTAAAATTATATATTACAATAAAATTTGAGATTTTAAGATAGTTGAATTTGTAAATAATTTACCGCCAAAGTTATTAAGGTAAAAAATGCGCATTGGTCTTGACAATACTTCATTTTCCCACGATTCTTTATTAATTTTATGGCACAGTAAATTTTGACAATTTTGAGCTTTAAAATTATAAAAATTCGCATCTGATTTTTATCTATTATTAATATTGTTAATGATTAGAAATACTGTAATAACGATGACATTTATAACTTAGTAAAATTAATTCTTAATTTTTTTTTTAAAAAAAAATAGAAGTATATTTTTAATGCTTTTATTTTAACCTTAACATTGTCGTTATTGTTTTTGAAAAAAAAAAAATTGCTTAAATAGTTTAATATTCAGATTTTTTTTTTTTTAATATCTCTTCGATAAATTTAATTGCATAAATATTCTTTACCATTTAGTCTTTCTAGGTTATTATTGTATTCCCTTCATTACCCAAGGTTAATTCTACATAATAAACAAAATTCTTTTAGTATTTGTTAATTATTTATAGAAATTGTTGTTATTTACCTTCATCAAATTCTATATTCGAATTTAATAAAATATAATTTTTAGCAAACAAAAATGTGTATCATTAACGAATTAGAGTGTAGGTTAATAATACATGTATTACCTTCTAATAAGGAAGTTTTTTTAGCATCCGATACTGGCTCTAATGTAAATTCATGAAAAAAAAAGATTTCAGAATATCATCAAACCGTCAAATTAACTCATTTTAGTAATACGAAGCTTCATATTTTTTTATTCCTATTTCTTTTTTGAAAATATTTTTTAAATTTCTACACTCTTACCTTTATAATTATTACTAGAAATTGTTATAATTTATAATAAAAAAAAAAGTTTTTAAAAAAAAAAAATTTATATTAAATTATCTTGTATGTATTTTAGTTACCGCGAAATCAGAGATATCATCAGGTGTCACGGCGCAGCCGTGACCCTGATGATGTCGCGGTAAATAACTATTATATTTCCCGATTACTAACGCCCGTGATAAGAAAATCACATGAATTATATAAGTCACATGTTATTGTGACGTAAATACTGTTTTATATTATAAATAATTTTTTTTTTACATTGCTTAAAAAATGAAATCAAGAAGACCGTAAAATTTAATACTTGCCGTGAATAATGTTTAAAACCTAAAACAAAAAATACTGACATTGAAAAGGAAATTTTATTTCCTGTGAAACCGTTACAATTCATTGCTAATTAATAAAAATAACAATAGTGATAATTTGAATCGGAAAATTTTTTGTTTCAATTAGACAAAATAATTTTTGATTGTTTTCAAATTTTCTTTAACATCGCATTATGAAGATAAAAATTACGAGGCACGTTTTTTGGCATAGCGATTTTATCACGATGATCATTTGTTATCATCTTACTTGAAATTTGATTTTTAAAATAAAAAGTCTTTAAATTATTGATATTTTATGCATTTTAATGCAGTCCCCGTCTAATTGCATCTCTAGTTGGAAATTTTACTTTCATATAAAGCTTATACTGCGTCATCGATTTGTGTAAGTGCAGCATTTTATTTTTAGCTACTTGATAAATGATAATCTTTTTTAGGCAATATTTTCAAGTTGCACTCCGCATAAGAAATTTTTTTTTCGTCACTAATTTATTATATTTACTGCTCCGGTACAGTACTTGTTGATAGAAAACAAAAGCAAATCAATCATAATGTTTTACCAAATTCGCTGGGATATTTACATCGCCTCTCTGTTTTTAATGATGCAACGATTGGAGGGGAGGTATTTTGGAAACTAAATTCAAGCAGGTTTGGTTTTTGGTTAGATATATCTCTCTAAAAAATAAATTTTTTTTTTTTTTGATTTTTTATTACTGCCGCGCCAAATATTGGATGCCGATCAATTATATTTATAAAATTTTTTTAATTGTCACTTTTTTTGTCTTGTTTTATTTCAAAAACTAGTTTCGAAAATTTCCGGATTTTTTGAGTTAGGATGTTTAATTACAAATAAAAATTCATTTTTATTTAAGTTCAACTTTATAAAGGTCTGGTTACATATAAGTATTTCGTATTCTTAGCAAAATTATTTTATTTATAAGAAAAAAAGTGGCAACAAAATTCTTTAATAGAATCAAAAACTATGAAATAAAAATTATAAAGTTTTATATCTAAAACATTTATTTTTATTTTTTTTTTTTTTAAAAAAAAAAAAAGAAGGGATACATTTCTACTTTGAATTATACATTTAATTTCGATTCAAAAATAGTTATCAATTGCGAATAATTGGAAAATATAAAAATAAATTTTGTCATAGAAAATAAACAATTTTATTTTAAAAAAAAAAAAAACGAAAAAAAAATTGATTATATAATTTGTTGATTACAATCAACTTTACACTAGGTGTGCCAGTATATTAACAAAAATTATATCAGTTCCTATAATAATATTTACTATTAAAGATTTTTTTGTAATTCCGATAGTTTATATTTTTTTAATACATTTTTATACTTTAATAACTTTAGATTATTCCCAATATCTTCGCTCCAAATTTTACAAAACATTCTAAATTATTGTCGTATAATATTGTGTCTGTTGGTAGATTCATGGTTAGTATCATAGACATATAATTGGGCATACATTGGTGATTGAGTTTCATCAGTCAATATGTATTAGGCTATGAATTTAGAAATTAGACATACTTTGACCATAAAATTCCTGATCTAAATTAGCGGCAAATGACGTACAAGCTAAAATGCTATTATAGGCTCTGATGTTTTTGCAAAACGAAATCGCATCAGATCATGCTGAAGTATATAAATAAAAGAGATATAATGGGGGCTTGAGCAAAGATGTTAAACTAACTTTACCACCAATACAACACATTGCAAAAGTTGAAAGTATATGTACTTTTTTGATCTTTTTCATTAGGTCAAAATTTAACAATACAATCGGTACTTGTCTGATTTATTCTCCCAAGTCATAACGTAGAATATTATCTATAAGCATATTATTTTTTACGTGATTGATCATTTATTTCTTTAGTATTAGGATTGCTGTTCAGTGGAATCTATTGTTTTAAATAAAATTCTGCGCAGAAGCTATTATAAGATTTTAAATTTTTATAGAGGCTTGAGCGTAAATCAACGATCCATCACCACTCCCGTAATTACTTTATATATTATTAGATTGAAAAATAAAAAAGAAAAGAAACCTAACCTATTTCTTTTGAATTGATCCAATTTGATGTGGAACTTAATAATTAAAAAAAAATTGAAATTTGATCTTTGCGGCCAAACTCCGAGTAAAATAGAAATTTAACTAAAATACTTATACTAGCGAAAGCGATCCAACCAAAGAAAATTAAATTCAAAATATTATGCGATCGAACCCGAAATAAACATAAAAATAAAAACAAATAAGAGAAAAGTTAACAAAAAAATAACAATTAATAAAAATAAATAAATAAAAATAAACTGACTCTCGACAAAAATAACAATAAAAAAAGAAAAGGAATTAAAAAAATCTATCTACCATACTGGAAAATAAATCATCCTATCGTGGCCAGATTCGAATTTGGAAAAAATTAAATAATAAAAATTAAATAAATAATGACACACCTTATCCTTGCGGAACCTAAAGTATGCAAAATCTTTTGAAAAATTATTCGTCTAAAGTAGTAAGTACCATTAATTTTATTCCCAAAATCAGATTTATGTTAGGAGAGATATTTAATTGCAAAAATTCCTTTTCAATATGTAAGCAAAGAAAAAGGTTGAATTGAACCTTCATTCGCATGTATGCATAATGCAAGTGCCGTCCTGTTCAAATTCAGGATTAAACCCCGGAATTTTGAACAGGGCGACGCATCATATAAGCACGTCAGAAATGTGTAAACCTCATTTAGCAATTAAAACTAACCAAAAATTAAATTTGTTGATTGATTCAAATTATGGAAAATGATAAATCTTTGGTTAAGCAAATGGTACAAGCTTTTCAGCATTCTTTAATGACAAAATATTTTGAATCACTTCATCTTATCATCTAATAGTTGAAAGATCATTATTGTTCGTTTCCCTACACGAAATTTCAATGTGGACGTTTTCTTTTTATTAAAAATTAGCGAGAAAATTCCAAACTTTGCATAAAAGAAATGGATTGACTCGATATCTCGTTTTCTTGAATGTTTGGGATAATTCCTCAATTAAGTTAAATTTATGATGCTAGTGAAAATATAACAATGTACTACCGAATTCCTTGCTGTCACTTGACTGTTGAAATTAGTTTCCACCTAATACAATCAACATTCTTTATAACGAAATGACGGTTCCGTTAGAAAAAAGTTCGTTATATAAATTACTATGTTTACTATACAATTTTTATAACGAACTATTATTAAAATTTAAAATTTGAGTTCGTTATATCCAGTGTTCGTTATAAGAGACAGTATAAGGTAAATAAAAAAATAAAATTCACTTTTAGTTTCTTATACTAAATAAAAATAAATTTTTTTTTTTTTTGTAAAAATTGGTTAAAAAAATATAGTAAATCTATCGCGCAAAGTTATTTTTGAGTTTTAATATTATTATTATAAATTCCAATTATGTAATAAAAGGAATTTGACGTTTCGCTACTTTTCTATTCACATACGTAAGTTTAAATTTGATTATAAGTTTGATTGATTACAAACTTGTTAAAAGGTGTTGATTTTCATAAAATATAATTGTTCTTTTTAATTTCCTTTTGTAATAGTGTGTTTATAAGACGCAGCAGCAGCTAAGGTGGACAAAACAACAAGAAATGTCATTGTTGATTATGTATGCACATTTATTTAAATGGTGTGTGTGAAAAAATCAATGTAGATCCTGTCACTTTATATACTGATTTGCCAAATTTTCTTTTTTAAAAATTTCATCCCCTTTGTTTTTATGAAAATAATTATGTTTGGTTCCGGTAAATTGAACTTAGTTGAACGTCCTGGCTTAGGCCGTATTGGTCGTCCTATACGAATTAGAGCAAACTTTTTCGAAATAAACTCTACAGATGACGTAAATATTCACCACTATGACGTTATAATTGCTCCGGAAGTTCCTCCGACTCTGAATAGGAGAATTTTTACCCAGTTTGAAGCCCTGCATGCTGATGATGTAAAACCAGTATTCGATGGTCGTAGAAATATTTTTACTGCTAGACCGTTACCTTTTGGTTATACGGACACTTTTGATATACGTCTTCCAGAGGATGCCGGTTCTTCAACAACTCGACATCCACGTGCTTTTAAGCTCATCATTAGGAAGGTCGCTGTAATTAATACGTATGAACTTCATAGCTTCCTTGATGGACAATGCATATTATCATCGAATATTTTAACAGGTTAATTGGTTATAATTGTTATAATTTATTGATTACAAAGTTTGTATAATTAATCAAAAATCTTTATTCTTAACGTTAATCAGTAATTATGGCCCTTAATGTATTAATTCGTCATAAACCATTTTTGACGTGTAAGGCAGTTGGTAGATCATTTTACACCAATCAAATCTCACAAGCTTGTTCTGGTGGTTTAGAAATTTGGCAAGGATATCGTCAATCCGTCAGGACTACACCTGGAAGAATGATGATAAATGTTGATGTAAGCTCTACTGCTTTTTATGAAAGTTGCGAGTTAGTACATATGGTCGCAAAGATACTCGGTCGTAATCTTGGTGATCTAAGAAGAGGAATAGTTGATAGAGATCGGTTAAAACTTGAAAAAGTTTTAAAGTATTTAAAGATTCGTGTTACCCATCGTGGAGATAATTCCGAGCGCACGTATAAGATTATTAAATTAACTAATACCCCGGCATCAAATACTAAATTTGAAGTTGATGGTACTAGAACAGATGTTGCTTCATACTTTCAAAATACTTACAACGAACCTCTACAATATCCATTCCTTCCTTGCGTCGTCGTCCGAAGGGATGTATATTTACCATTGGAAGTATGTAAAGTAGTTGAGGTAAGTAAATTCTCTATAAAGCAGAAAAGGAATGCAGTGTTATTATAAAAAAAAATAAAAAAAATTAAAATAAATTAAAATAAAATTTTTGCTAATTGTAAATCTGTTTATTAGGGACAACATCATATTCGCAAATTGAACGAAAGGCAGGCAGCTGATATGATTAAATTTTCTTGTCAGCAACCCCATGTCCGTGCAAATAAAATTTCTCAAGGATTAGAAATTCTTGGTTATAGACTAAATGATTGTATGAGGCAATTTGGTTTGGTAGAACCTGAAGAAATGGCTGTAGTTCCAGCCAGAGTATTGCCTGCTCCAAAAATACGATATCACCCTTCTTCTCGTAATGCCGCCTTTGTTCCAAAAAAAGGGTCATGGAATTTACGCGATAAAAAAGTTGCTACTGGGGCCACACTTAGTTCATGGTCATGCGTTGTTTTCGGAAATTTCGAAATGCAAGTCGTACAATATTTTATCAGAGAATTGGTTAACGTATGTCTGGATACTGGAATGAATATCCCGACTAAGAATCCACCAATTTTCCAAGGTAATCCTCAAGGTAATATTGAACAGATGTTGAGGCAAGCCTGGGTTAAAGCTGGCAATATGACCAGATCAACACCTCAGTTAATTTTATGCATTCTTCCTAACACCGGTGTACCATTGTATGCTGAAATTAAACGTGTGAGTGATACAGTAATTGGTGTTGCTACTCAATGCGTTCAATCTAGACATATTTTTCAAGCAAAAAAACAATATTGCGCTAACCTATGTCTCAAAATGAACGTAAAACTTGGTGGTATGAATTCATACATTGAACCAAGTTGTATACAGTTTATTACGCAACGCCCGACCATCGTAATGGGTGCAAGCGTCACACATCCTGCTCCTGGTGGTGATGAGTCTCGCCCATCCATCGCTGCTCTATGCGCTTCAATGGATGCAAAAGCATCTCGCTATGCCGCCTCTGTTCGTGTTCAAGCAGGTAGACAAAATATTATCTCTGACTTGTCTGGTATGGTAAAGGAGCTATTGAAAACCTTCTACCAGACATGTGGAAGGAAACCAGAAAGTGTTTTGTTCTATCAAAACGGTGTCTCTGACTACAAATTTGAACAAGTGCTTGATTTTGAAATTGAAGCTATAAGAAGTATGTGCATAATTTTACTAAAGTAATTTGTAACAATTGAAATTTACAACATACCGACCTTTTATTTCCATTTTTTAAATAACAGCTGCATGTGCATCACTTGATGCGAATTATAAACCGTCCATAACTTTTGTGGTTGTAAATACACGTCATCACACTCGTCTTTTCCCTATGGATAAGAAAGATTCAGATAGGACAGGAAACTGTCTGATTGGTACAGTTGTAGATTCAACAATAACGCACCCTTTCGAATTTGACTTTTATCTTCAGAGCCACACAGCAACACAAGGGACTTCGCGTCCAACACATTATCACGTATTGTGTGATGAAAACCGATTCAATGCCGATTCAATTCAAACTTTATCATACAATTTATGTTATTCATTTGCGCGATGTACACGTGCAGTTTCTATTGTTCCACCAGTATATTACGCGCATTTAGTTTGTTCTAGGGCCAGATTTCATTCGCGAAATGAAAATTGGAGCGATCAAGATCCAGAAAGTGGGGTTCCTGTATCATCTTATGGTATGGTGAAACCTGATTTACAAAAAGTTATGTACTTTATATAGAGAATTGTCCCGAAATTATTCGCATGGGTTTAACTTTAATATATATATGTGCCTTATATAGTCATTGTATGTTTATTTGTAGAAATATTTTTGTAAATAAGAATTTTGAGACAAAATATTGATATTATCTAGTATTTGATACAATATATTATGAATAAATATACAGTATTTTGTTAAAACTAATGAGCTATGTACAATTGAACTCGCCCAAATTTAGTCCAGTTTTACTATAAAAATGGAAGGGGGTGAAACCCTAATGCCGTACTTTTAAATCAGCAAGATTAAGAAATAGTTAAATATCGAACAATGTTAATTAATGTCTCGGTTCATCTTTAAATGACACTTGAAATTCTTTCTTGATGATAACCACGGAATATTATGTAATTTATCACAGGTTACAACTTTTAATCCAAGGGATTTATTAATCAAATGTTGTTTGAAATAATAATGTCCAGTATTTTGATATCAAGTATTATTGTCCACTTATTGAATATATTGCGTACTTCATTAACGAATTTTCTTTCATATTTGTAACTGAGAAGATAAATTCTTTCGATATCATTCGTTTCTCATTCAACTGACTAAACCGCCAGTTTATGTACTTGAGAATATACTAAATCCTGAGTCTAATACTACAAGTAAATCTTGTTAGTAGACCCTAATTTCAGTTAATTACCCAAGCATATATAAGCTATTTATTTAGTTTAGGTAAGTCTTGGAATGCAAGATAAATTATCTCTGTTAAAATCATAATCTGTTATAAGTCTCCTTGGAATAGTTCTAAATCAAATGACTGTGGACTAAAGCTTTCTTCTTCTAATGCACAGAATGGATAACGAATACCATTATTTGATCCTGAACCTTTTTAAATGAGCGGCAAATTTGATCTTTTAGTCTTTAAATTAGCTCATTCTTAATTAGAGGAATTGCTTCCTTTCTACACTCATGGCATTTTTCGACATTTGAGCAAAATTATATAGCTTGTGATCTTCTTAGATGATGTTTTAACGACAGAACGCTTTTTTTTGTGTAATAGATATTTTCCTTGTTTACTCATTCCAAATCTCTTGATTGAATATTAATTTCGCTTATTATTCTTGGCATTTTTCTAATAGGAAAAAAAAGTCGATAATTCAAAATCACGAACGCAGCTTATCCCTGAGGGGACTTGATGAAATTCCCAATATTTCATATATTTTAGAGGAAGGTGAGTAAGGAATGTTTCAAATAGTAAAGTCAAAAGTGAGAGATATTAATAGTTTTAGAATATGATTTCTACTATTACAATATATAGCTCTTTTTATAGGGTTTGTAATAGATACATACGCCTTGATTATGTTAATCAATACCATTGTTAATTATGGAATTTTCTGAAGTGATGAATTTTGTTTCATTCCGATACTTGAAATGTGATCGATTTGTATCTAAATATTAGTTTAATTTAAAAAAAAAATTGGTTAGCATTTTAAGTGTTAAAAATGAAAATATTTATATAAAAATTATTTCCCTTATCTTTTAAAATAAATGTTCGAAGAGGTATTTTGCCTGAAAATGAATAAAGAATATTAATTAGTTGAATTTTAATATTAATCTTCATAGACACAGCACTTTATAATGGTTAAAGCTCTTAAGGGGAAATCTTGATTTCTTATTAATGAGCGTGACGTTTAATTAGAGGTTGGAACCGGTTCCAACCTCTACGTTTAATAGATTCATATCACAAAATTAGATTTCTATTATTACCAAATCCATTGTTACAATGAAAGAAAATATTGAAGAAACGTGTTAAACGCGTGACTGAAATTTAGGATAGAAATTTCTTTTTATTATTAAATCAGAATCCTATTTCGTTTTTCAAGAAGCCACTGTGGGACGAGTTACACTCTTAACAGAATTTAACGTTGAAAGATGTTAATTTTTTAGCTTTAAAAATAATGACCATTTATTTATACCCGTTCATATTTATAATATTATAAATTTTATTTTACCTTTTTTTAATTCCTTAAAATTTTTCTTTTTAGACAATGAAGCAAATTCTCGCTTACGTAATTAATTATGTTTAATATTAGTAGGATATATTAATATTCTTAAACTTTTATTTACTATTTTTAGGAAGCACACTAACTAGGAAGAGGACAAATTAGTGGTTGGTTATTAATGCATTTTTCATTTTTTCAGTCTATTATATTCCCAGCATTGATTCCGACACCTTTGTCCTTTTTGTTAATTTACAAAACTTGTTTTATTGTATAATAAATATTCCATATAATAAAAAAAAAATATTTGTGAAAAAAAAAGAAATTCTATTAAAATCTAATTAAAAAGGGAATGAAATTTAAATCAACCCACCAAAACTCGAGATTTATGATCAAATACAAACATCGGGGTACCTAAGGAATATAGTATCGTCAGACATCTTAAGAGGAACTCTAACTACTTAGCTTCTGGCCCAAAATACACTCATCTATGATGAAACGAAATGTCGCAACAATACTGACCAACAAAATATAGATGAATGCATTTAGGCATATTCTTTTAGAGCGGACCACCCATTAGCACTAACCAGAATTCAAGGTCAGATTTCCCAGAATAAACATTTTGTTTAAGTACATCAATAAGGGAATAGACAGCATTTCCAGCAGATACGGCCCTGTATATGGTATCCTCATTGAAAATTTGACGCTCATAAATCTCGAGTTTAAAACGAAGGGAAGTGATAATTAAAAGAGTAACCTAAGAAAAATCGAATTATTTGTTAAATTATCAGTAAACCCTATGTTATAGTTTGGTACACTCCCCTCCAAAAATATCCGACCACTTGCCGATCATTTACCGATCATTTGATTTCGACGTTTATTACTTAACAATTTATTAATAAAATTTTTACAAAATTTATATATGTAATGCAGAAAAGCTCA